ATAGGCAATTTTATTATTATCATTTTAGATTTTTTTTGAGTTTTTGAGGTCCAGGGGACCATAAAGTTATTGAAGTACCTCCCAAGTGGTGAGATAAGAGATAATTTTTAAAAAAGAAAGAAAAGAAGGAAGAGAGGGAGGGAGAGAAAACAGAACAAACACTGAATGCTGACCCTGCTATAAATCCTTTGGCAGAACACTTCTACTGGACAGAAAAGCTGCCTTTGGTATGTTGACAGTGACCAGCTGGAGATAGGAAAAGAAATGACTAAATCATTCTTGCCTTTCAGGAGGTTCAGGGCAGGTCTGCTTGAATCTGCCTGACTTCAAAGCACAGGGTGTGGTGGATGTGATCTGCTATAGAGAGCCCGGCTACACTGCGGACACCACTTCCTGCAATATGATGTTTTCCTTAAAATTTTTTATTACATTTATTTATTTATGTATGTGTGTGGTATAGGAGAGTGTACATGCCATGGACAGCTTTGTGGAGTGGTTTCCTTCCTTCCACTATGTGGGCTCTGAGGATTGAATTCAACTCTTTTGTCTTGGGGGCAAGCACTTTTACCTACTGAGCCATCTCAACAGGCCCTGGGAGTTTCTTTTTTTAATTTTATTTATTATTTTTATGAGTGTATTGCCTGCATGTAGGTGGGTGTACTCCTGTCATGCAGTGCCAACAGAGATGTCGGATCCCCTGGAACTAGAGCTACAGATGGTTATTAGCTGCCATGTGGGTGCTGGAATTTGAACCCAGGGTCCTCTGCAAGAGCAGTCGGTGCTCTTAACCACTGAGCCATCTCTCCAGCCCCTACCCTGGAATTTTCAATGTACAAAAATAGAGATTTGTTGTGGGGAGGGGTGCGGAATCTACCCGTGAGCCCATGTACTAGTTCAGAGCAGCAGCCTCGGCTTTCCTGTGCTCCTGTCTTGTGGACGCGGATCTGAGAGCTGCAGGCTTCACCCCCTCCTAGGTAACTGGGATGACAAACAGTGCACTAAGCACCACCTGGCAGGACTTAACCTGCTTTGGAGCAGAGCGGAGGTGTTCCTGCATGAACAGTCTTGCTGTACCCGGCAGCTACCTAGTTATTTCCCCAAAGATGTAACATGGGAGGCTCAGATTTGTAAACACGGGGATCATTTTTAAAATTCCAAGGGCATGAACAGATGGTGTGGTTCCAGCCTAGACTGTATCATTCCAGAATCTTTGAGAGACAATAAAAAAGTGACTTCCTGAAAGTTACTCAAGAAATACCCAGGGCTCAGAGCCCTACAGCAGGAGTCAGAAACCGCTGAGGACAGCACAGGAAAGGTCAACCCTGTGTGCCTCGCTTCCTTTTCCTCTTCCTTACTCTGACTAACAACATCCAAAGTCTTGGAATTCTAGCCAAATCTATTAGCCAAGGGAGAAGAATGAATGAGCTGGCCCAGCAACAAAGCTGTTGTGCTCTGGGGCAAGCTATAAACCTATAGCAGCTGGGTGTGGTGGCACAGGCCTTTGATCCCATCACTGGGGAGGCAGAGGCAGGCAGATCTCTGTGAGTTCAATCCTGCCTGGTCTCCATAGAGAGTTCCAGGTCAGGTGGGGCTGCAGGGAGACCCTGTCTCAAAAAGCCCACCCCCCTCTAAAAAAAGACTGAATTGTTACCAAAAATACCTTAGAGGTTTAGATGTAACAGGTCAGCTAGGTTGCAAGATGACTTATTTTAATATGCTAAGTACTGTTATAAAAAGGGTCTGGCACAGGCAAGGCAGGTGATCTACCACAGAGCCACTTCTCCAGTCCTTTTAAGTTTTTTTTTTGAAACTCTGTCTCAGAATACAGCCTAGGCTGGCCTAAAACTCACCACCTTCCCACCTTTGCCTCATGAATGTCATGTGCCTAAATATTTTTGTTGGTTTTGTTTGGTTCTGTTTGAGACAGGGTCTCCCGTAGTCCCAGCTGGCCTGGAACTTGCTTTGTAGACCAGGCTGGTCTTCATTTTAAAGAAATCTGCCCGCCTCTGCCTCCTGAATGCTGGGATTAAAGGTGAGTGCCACCATGTCCAGCCCATTCTAAAATGTTTATCTTGAAATAATATTTCACTCATAGAAAAGTAAAACCAGCATGTAAGATTTTCACACACTCCTCACTCAGCTTTCTCTAATGTTTACCTGTATAGATGTGACAGTGACCAAAATCAAGCCATTAACTTCAGAAAAATACTGTTATTCTAAGTACACATTGATTTGGAGTTGGCCAATTTTTCCACTAACATCTTTTATTTTTTCTTTGTGGTACTGGGATGGAACCCAAGGCCTTGCTCATGCTAGCTAGGCAGGCTTTCTAAGGCTGAGGATATACCAGCCCTGATGTCTTCCCTCAGTTCCAGGATCTAATCTGGGATGCCCCTAAGGCATTAGCTATTTATCATAGTCTCTTACAGTCAGTGACAGTTCCTTGACCTTTTCTCATTGTTTGTGATTTTGTTTTTGTTCATTATTTTGTGAGCTAACTTTCCAGTTGGGTTGGTTTGTTGATATCTGTTGAAAAAAATTTGTTTTGAGACAGGGTCTCCTTGTAGCACCAGCTAGTCTAGAATTTGCTGTGTAGACCAGGTTGGCCTTGATCTCACAGACGTCTGCCTGCCTGTGCCTCCCAAGTACTGGGATTGAAGGTATATACCATCACACCTAGTCAATCTTTGTTGAATTTTTAGCAAGGATACTGCATAAGTGGTATGCCCTTTCTGGTCTGGAGGAGTTTGTGATATCCATAATTTTTGTAACAGCTAATATTTACCTTGATCACTTGATTAAAGGGCTTGGACTTCCCCGTATTAAAGTTCTACTGTCCTCTTTTGAATTAATAACATCTAAGGGAGATACTGTTAGTCTGTGAGAATATCTTGTTTTCTCTTAAACCACTCCCAGTAACTGCAGACCTATGAGTGACTCTGGCTGGTAACAATTATTGCTGTGATGTTCTAATCATATTTTGGGGTTTTCTGTATTTCTTTTATACTCATTTATCAAAATACTTTTGTTGTTGTTGTTGGGTCTCATTATGTAGAACAGGCTGGCCTTGAACTCACAGGGATCCACCTGCCTCTGCTTCCCTAGTGCTGGATTAAAGGCATACAACACCATGCCCAGCCAACATTCTTCTGTGATGAGATGTCCTGTTTCCTTCATGTCTCTCCCATTTCTTTATCTATATATACAATGATTTAGTCTTATCAGGGTGGCCCCATGAGTGTTTATTTAATCCTATGGGCTGTCACATTGCCCCTGGATGTGGAAATGGCTCCCACTTAGGCCATTTCAAGTCCTTCAGGGTGGTCCTTGTGGCCTTTCAGGCTCTTGTCCCACTGGAGACCTTTCTTACTTGGCCATACCATGCACTTCTACTCCAGGCTTATCTGATTCCCCTGCTGCAGCTGGATCAACCATCTCTCCAAGGAGCCCTGGTCCTGTTAGTGGAGAACAGTGCTCAGAGAGCCACATCTCAGCACTGACTTTGCATTCCTCCTGGACTATCATTTCTTTTAGGTTCCTTCTTCAGACAGAACTAGGAAATGCAGTTATGTTCTGAGATCCTTGATGGATGCCTGGAAACAGAGATACCGATGACAAACTTTATAAATTAGACACACTATGAGGTTAACAACAATAACTATTAACAAAACACAACAATTGTAACAGTATTCTGTAAAAAAATGTTATACAAACAGCATCTTTGTTTCATGCTGACCTTGAACTTGTGATCCTCATGCTTCAGCCTTGAGTGCTGGGATAACAGGTACGTGCCACTGTGCCCAGAACTAAAAGCAAATGGTCTGCCACTCAGCTATATTCACATTTTCCCTGTTTGAAATATCTTTTTGTTTTTTTTTGTTTTGAGACAGGGTCTCTTTGTGTTGACCCTTGCTGCCCTGGAACTTGCTAGGTAACCAAACACAGTGACCTCCCTGCTTCTGCCTCCCAAGTTCTGGTTGGAAATATCTTTTTGTATAAGAGTAATTTTGAATTTGTAATTATATACATACATACATTTTAAAAATTATTTATTTATTTATTTATTTACGTGTGTGTGTGTGTGTGTGTGTGTGTGCGTGTGTGTGTATCTGGAAGCCAGAGGACAACTTCACTGCTTGGGTCCCAGAGATTGAACTGGTGTCATCAGGCTTGGAGGCAAGAAAAGATAAACTGCAGAGAAGGGGTAGATTACTGAAATTCTTAGGATTTTGAGAATTCAATGAGATAAAAAAGATATAACCATATAAATATATATAAACACACATGTATAGGGTCTCCCTGTAGCCCCAACTGGCCTGGAATTCACTATATAGACTAGGCTGGCCATGAAATTACAGAGATCTGCCTGCCTCTACCTCCCAAGTGCTGGGATTAAAGATATGATTTTTAAAGTGATTCAGTTAAAATGAGGTCTTGATGATGGACCTTAATCCAAAATGAGTTAACATGGGGATGTGACTCAGTGGTAGATGGCTTGCCCATCACGCACAAGACCCTGGTTTAATCCCTCATACTGTAAAAACAAATGAATTAACTATAACAAGCCCTCCCCAACAAAAACCTAGACAAAACAACCCCTCCCCCAATGTCTTCTGTCCTGTTATGATTGAATATGAAACATACTCGATAGGCTTATATGTGAGAACTCTTTGGGTCCAGCTGGTTTCCTATTTGGGGAAGTAGTGGAAACTTTAGCAGGTGGGACCTAGGTCACTCTGGGTGTCTTTGAAGGTGATGCCTGGCTCCTTTGTCTCTGTTGCGGTCTCTTTCTCTCTACTTCCTATCTTCAGTGACTCAAGCAAGCTCCTCCACCACACTCTTCTGCCCTTGTGATACTCTGCTCATGCACATGGGAGAAAGCCACTCTGGACTGAGCCCACTGCGACCACAAGCCAAAATAAATCTTTGCTCCTTTAAGTTGTTTAGGTCAGGTGCTTTGCCGCAGCAGTTCAAAAGCTAACTAACACATGTCCTTGTAGGGAGAGGAGATTGGCATTGGAGGAGGACCATGTGATGACACAGTGAGAAGGCAGCCATCTACAAGTCCAGGAGAGAGGCCTAAGAAGGAACAATCTTGCTGACACCCTGATCATGGACTTTTGGACTCACAATGGAGAGAAAATAAATTGCTGTTGTTTAAGCTACTCAGACTGTGGTATTTTGTATGGAAGTCCTAATGCAACACAGTTTAATCATAGTTTCCTCTGTGGTTTTAATGAATTCACAAAGATTTTGGGGCACCTAAAGTTAGTGAGCAAATTGAGTATATTAAAAAATTTACATTTATTCACTTTATGTGTATGGCATGTGCACATGCCATGGGGTGTGTATGTGAAGGTGTATATCAGCTTGCCAGAGCTGATTCTCCAAATGTACCATGCAAGTTCTTGCTATGTAGCTCAGGTTGGCCTTGAACTTGTGATCTTCCTGGCTCAGGCCCTGGAATACTGGGAGTACAGGCATGTGCCAGGCTTTTTAAAAAAAATAATGAATTAATTTACTTTTATGAATGTTTCACCTTCATGCATGTAAGTGCACTCGTGCATGCAATGCCCATGAAGGCCAGAAGAAGGTGTCAGATCCCCCAGAACTAAGTTACAGACAATTGTTAGCTGCCTTGTGGCTGCTGAGGACTGAATCCAGGTCCTCTGGAAGAGTAGCCTGTGCTCTTAACCACTGAGCCTTCTCTCCAGCCCCTTATCGTCATCTTTTAAATATACTCCTTTAAATTTCTATGTGTATACTATGATATTTAACAGAATATAACATCTTGAAATAAATATATTTATGTTGCTTAACAGCTTTTCAGTCAGTGAGCAGTTGCATGTATGATGTTGGTTCCTAAGATTCTAATGGAGCTGAAAAATTCTTCCCACACAGTGATAGAGTAGCAGGCATAGCCTCACAGAGTAACACATAACTTAAGTAGTCACCAAGATGTTGATGTAAACAAACCTGTCATCCTGCCAGGCACATAAAAACACAGCATGTACAGTTCTATACTCTAAAAAGTGCTTGATAATTATAGTGGTTATTAGCGTATGTATTTATTACATTATACTTTTAATATTTTTTGGTTTGGGGAAATAGACACAAGGTTTTATGCATGTTAAGCCTATGCTCTAAACTGAGCTATACCTTAGCTTTATTGTTATTTTAGAGAGTGTTTCTACTAAAAAGCAAATGTTTGATGTGAGCAGTACGCTACATATGTATTGGTTTCTTTTTTTTTTTTTTCTTTTGGTCTTTTTGAGACAGGGTCTCCCTGCAGCCCCAACTGTCCTGGAACTCACTATGTAGACCAGGCTGGCCTTGAACTCATGGGGATCCACCTGCCTCTGCCTCCAGAGTGCTGGGTTTAAAGTCTTGCGCCACCCCGCCCGGCTTTGACTTGGTTTCTTACTCCATCAAGAGGCTACATGGAGTGACTGACCTGGACCATCTGGGTCTGTGATGTTTGCATAGTAGCCAGGTTGACCACCAATGCCTCTCACAGTGTGTCCCCATGTTAACTATAGCTTGATGGAAACCATTGAAGGTTCATGTTCCAAGGATAGTTGAGAGATCATTCTGGACTGGGGAAAATCATTTCCAGCACAGCATGTTGTTTTGTCATTATGCGTTCCTGTGATCAACCTGAGGACAGGCTGTGATTGTCAGCAGCAAATTTCAGACAGACAGATTTACTCTTCCTGGCTTAGATATGCTGAGATATGGCTTAGGTTAGCAGAACTTCCTCAGCAGCAAATCTGCCCAAGGTTACCTCCTTCTGGGCCCTAGTCCCACCTGGCTTACCTAGGAGCTACGTTTGTGTGTTTCCCTCAGTGCCAGACCCACCTCCTTCCCCCTGCTTCTTCAGACACTGGAATCCAGGGTCACCCACTGCCTTGGTGTAAGAGGCTCCAAGATGGAATCTGTTCTTAGAAGGAAATCTGAGGTCCTACTGTGTATGAAGTAGAGAGGGGTTCAGGGGGAATCCTCATAAGAGCAGGCAGATCTCAGGACACCTTACAGTCAGCACATGGAAATGGTCCCTTCCTTCTCTTGCCCACCATCACACTGTAGGAAAGAATGTCCTTTAGGTAGCTTCAAAGGGTGGCTTCAGGCTTCTGAGTGTGAGGCTGGCAGCATGGGCCAGGGATAAAGTGTGTGTGTGTGTGTGATTGCAGCTCAGGAAATGCTCCTTCCTGTCATAAACCCCAGCCTTCCTTAAGGCTACCACCACAGTCATCCATAGCTCTTGCAGACGTTGACAGGGTAAACTGTTCTAAAGTTTCGTTTTAGTGTCCAAGCTAAGCTTCTGAGCACACACTGAATGACACAGTGTTAAGATATGGAGATAGAAGGCAGATTATTTATTATTTGTTTATTTATTTACTTCAAGATAGGGTCTTACTATGTAGCCATGGTTAGCCTGGAACTTGCTGTGTAGACCAGGCTGGCCTCGAATGCAGAGATCTGCCTGCCTCTGTCTCTTGAGTACTGGGATTAAAGGAGTGCCCCACCATGTCTGGCACATGTGTTTGGATTTGAATCTTTTCTCTTTATTCACTGATTGGTTGATTTGGGGAACATCTCCTCCACCTCCTCCTCCTCCTCTTCTTCTTCCTCTTCCTCTTCCTTATCATCATCACCACCACCATCTTTTTTGATAGGTTCTCACCCTGTTGCCCAGGCTAACCTCAAAGTCATGATCCTCCTTCCTCCTAAATGCTAGGATTATAGGTGTGTGCCATCACTCTAGCAAAACGTTTTTAAAGATATAAATAAAAATAATTATGTGTCTCTGTGTCTGTGTACATGAATGTAATGTTGGAAGGGGTCAGAGATGTCTGATTCCCTGGAGCTGGAGTGACAGGTGATGTAGAAGCTTGAAATCAAACTCCAGTCCTCCGAAAGAGTAACAAGTGCTCCCATCCCCTGAGCCAGCTCTCCAGCCCCTACTGTAAACATTCTTTTTAACCTTCCCTGCCTCAGTTTCTTCATTAAAAAGAGAAAACGTGATGATTTGATTCAAAGTGTTTGATATCTACTCCCAGTGGCAGTGGCTGTTGATATTTATCAGGAAGATGGCTGCTGCTAGTGGCAGCCCTCATGGCTGACTTTGCGTATGGCCATAAACATCAGGGGCTCATCTCAGTCCTGTGAGATGCTGGGCGAGGGGAGACTAGACAGTGCTTGTAAACTGTACTCCTTTGCTCTCTCGGTTCCTTTCTGGAATGGGGCAGAGTATAAGAAATCGTTTTGTGAGTTAGGTATTTATTTAGCAAGCATATTTTGGATATTGGAGGTACAGAAATGGGCAACAGTGCTTGCTTTCAAAGGTCTTCTGGTCAAGAGCATGAGGCAGATAGGCGCACATCTAGTCACAGCTCAGTGTTCCAGGTTGTAGGTTGTATTCATGAAGCAGAGCCAGGAAGGGGTAGTTGAAGCCAGTGTGAAAGTCTTCAAAGGTGGGGAATGAATGAAGGTTATGAGTGAATTCCAAAGTTGTTCAACAGAGCGCAGGGCTGTCTGAGTGAGAGGCTGGGGTACACTGACTTCTGAGTTTCCAGCTTATGTGGCTGGGTGGATGGTCATATTTTCAGTCATGCTTGCTTTGAACATCACGACACAAACATGTATTCTTAACTGGGACAGTTTTACAACCCGTGTATTTAATTGTGCTTTTTTTTTTTTCTTTTGAGGCAGGTTCTCCCTGTAGTCCCAGCTGGCCTGGAACTTGCTATGTAGACCAGGCTGGCCTTGAACTCATTGAGATCTGCCTGCCTCTGCCTCCCAACTGCTGGGATTAAAGGCGTGTGCCACCAGGCCTGGCCCCCATCTTAATTTTAAAAAAATAAATTCTGTCCGACAACCAGGAGGAAGGACAACGAAGACAAGAACAAGAACAGAAGTCTTCACCTCCTTTTCTTTCTAATTAAAAAAACTTTGTTTCTCTAATAGGCCGTTTGAGTTCACTTATTTGCTGTCAAATCATGACAGCCTGCTGGAGATTGGAAGATCATGGGTGTGAGAGCCTGGGAAGGGAAAGTGTTCAGTACCTCTGGCTCAGCCACACTGCCAGGCTTAAGAAATATTTAGTACAGTAATTTTATGCAAGAAGTTCAAAGATGAGCAAGAAATGTGTTATAAAGGTCTTCTGAGGACCGGTGAGATGGCTCATCTGGTCAAGGTATTTGCTTGAAGACCTGAGTTTGATTCTTGGAACCCACACAATAGAGAGAACTGACTCCCACAAGTTGTCCTCTGACCTCCACACATACTGTGGTGCATGCATACATCCCCTAACAAAATAAATGTAAAAAAAAGGGGGATGGTGTTCTGAGCAATTCTTGCTCCCTTAACCGCCACATAGACCAGAAACCCTCATGGCTAACACATTTATAGAAACAAAATAGGGAACAAAACATTCCAGTTGTATTTTTCTCAAATTTGAGTAAACTGTAGTGAAGCGATTTTCTGAGTTTGAAAGTTTTTCCTTCCAGTTAAGATGAATGCAGAACCAGATGTGGTAATACATTGCTTTAATCCTAGCACCCAGGAGGTTTGCAAGTTCAAGGCTAGTCTGGGTTACATATTGAGACTGTCTCAAAATAGAGGTTAAAAAGAAAGTTGCATTAGAGACTAATTACAAAGAACCCAGATGCATTAAAACTCTACAGCAATGTGTTTTGGAGAGTCAGTAGATTCATATTGGAAGAACAGGCCTTTGCTGAGGCTGAGGTTGCTGACTTAGGTGTCTTTTATGTTACTGAGCACAGAGATGTCGAGTTGCAGAGCACATCTGCTTATCATTGTGTACCTGCGTGTCTTACACCATAGACTGAAATCTCAAAAAAGCCCTGCTTAGCAGGTGTGATGTTTGTGCTACAAATGCACTGGCCTGCTGTGGATTGCTGTGTGGAGTTCTTTCCTTCAAGCACATCTTTCTGTATAATGCTCTCTTCCTAAAAGTAAACAAGCTCTGATATTGGATTCCGGATATGTCATTAAGTCTTTCCAAACACAAATACATCCACTGTGCTTTAAAGTAATGGTCCACACAGCTTCTCCGTGTAGTTGTCAATACAAGCAGATATGAGGTCTAAGAAGCATTAATGAAGCTGCTATCCCCAAACAGAGCGTTAGACTTGAACCTGCT